GAAGGTTTCATCAAAATCTATACCTTCTTCTTGACAATATCCTTTGGCAACCAACCGGGCTTTGTTTATGATAACAACGCCGTTTTCATCCATCTTGTTCCGGAAGACCCACTTTGTCCCAATGACATGTTGATGAGTAGGTCTGGGAACAAGTTTCCAGACGTCATTTCTGGAAAATTGGTTGAGTTCTTCTTGCATTGCATTGATCCAATCAGAATCAGCTAGAGCTTCTTCAATATTCTTTGGTTCCACTTGTGAGATGAAACAAGCAAGCATAGCTTCTAGATTTTGTTGGGCACTCCTTGTGCGAACACTAGATTGAATATCTCCAATGACTTGTCGGGGAGGATGATTCCTTAACCAACGAAGATTGTGTTGATTAGGGTTGACTGGTTGATCTAGTTCAGCTTCTGGTTGAAGAACAGAAGTTGTTGGTGTTTCCGGATGGATTGGCACTAGGTCGCCATTTCCGGAATTGTCGCCGTTTGAGTGATCCGGAATATTGGAAGGCTGGCCAAGATTTCCGGAAGGCTCAGCACTGTCTGAATCCGGATTTCTCTGTGAAGTCTTCAGTGGTAGACTTCTGAATGGAATGAACTCCGTAGGCTTCATTCTATCTCCTTCATTGACTTCTTCATCCTTATCAGATAGATCCAGAACCTCATGATCATGCTTTGATGGCTTGTCAACCACATGTTTTTCATCAAAAATAACATGTATTGACTCTTCAGTGATCATGGTTCTTTTGTTGAAGACTCTGAATGCCTTGCTCACCATGGAAAATCCTAGGAAGATGACCTCATCTGATTTCTCATCAAAAGTGTTCAGATGATTCTTCCCATTGTTTAACACAAAGCACTTGCTCCCAAAAATATGGAAATATGATATATTAGGCTTTCTCCCGTTCCATAGTTCATAGGGAGTTTTGTTGTGCCTTTTATAAATCATACTCCTATTCTGAGTATAGCAAGCTGTGTTAACAGCTTCAGCCCAGAACCTCTTTGGCAAAGAAGCTTCGGCTAGCATGGTCCTTACTGCTTCCTTCAAGGTTCTGTTTCTTCTTTCAGCTACACCATTCTGTTGAGGCGTCCTTGCTGCGGATGTCTGATGAAGAATTTCGTTTTCTTCACAGTAGTGAATGATGATTTCATTCAGGAATTCTGTGCCTTTGTCAGATCTGATCTTCTGAATGGTCTGACTTGCTTGATTTTGAATCAGCTTCATGCAGTTGGTGAGTTTCCCTTGAGTCTCCTTCTTGCTGTTGAGGAAGATTGTCCACATGTATCTTGAGTAATCATCAACTACCACCAGGACATATTTCTTTCCACTTAGACTTATTGGTGTAACAGGGGCAAATAAGTCCATGTGAATAAGACTTAATATCATGGTAGTTGAGGGTGGCAGTTTTGCCTTGAAAGTAGACTTGACTAGCTTTCTTTTCTGACAAGCATCACAAATGCTTTCCTTCCTGAATACAGCTTTGGGAAGACCTTCTACTAACCCTTCTTTGGATAGCTTGTTGAGGGTTTTGAAGTTGAGATGACTCAACCTCTTATGCCAAAGCCATAGAAGGTTAGTGTCACCTTTGCTGATTAGGCATGCTTCCTTGACGTCGTCCCACATCACTTCATAGATGTTCCTGATTCTCTTCCCAGTGAGAATGACTTTATTTGTGGAGATGTTCTTGAGGGATGCCATGTCCTTGCAGAATTCCAAGGAGTAACCTTTATCACAAAACTGACTTATGCTAAGAAGGTATTAATTGAGTCCTTCAACATAAGATACAGCTTGGATGGTTAGTCCCTTGTACACCAGATTTCCTAGCCCTTTAGTAAGGCCAAAATCATTGCTTCCTCCAAAAGTAACTCTTGGACCATCATAGGGAATTAGATTGCTCAAAAGGCTCGCATCACCCGTCATGTGTCTTGAACAACCATTGTCTAAGTACCAGACACCTGGGTACTTAGCGGCTTTTCTGCATTAGGAGGAGGAAGATTTTGGTACCCAATTAAGTTTGGGTCCGGAGTAGTTAATAGTGTGTGTCCCTACATCAAGTTTGAAGTTGCAGGGAATTTTCCTTGCAGCTCTAAACTTGTTGGGATTGTAAACATAGTTGTAGGCATAAAACTTCCTACGTGCAGGAGGTGCAATTTCCTGTTTCCTCCTAGCAAATCTAGGTTGGTAAGACCTGTAGTTTTGTCTAGGTTGTGCATAGTGTGACCTGTGTTGGTTATAAGCATACTAAGGGGGCACAAATAGTTTCTGGGGTGGAGGATGACTATATCTTGGCATAGTTCTCCACTCCAGAATTTCTCGGAAAACTCCTATCTACCCCATAATGAGTATAGCCTTGTGTATATTGGAGGTTAGAAGGTTTTCTTCTGAAATTGTTTCCTTTTTGAGGTCTGTCCAGCTTCCTATAGTTCTTAGGAGGGACTACCTTTTTGGGAACTTCTGTTGGTTTCTCATTTTCCTTTCTTTTCTGCTTATTTGGTTTGGCAGTAGGTTTAGGAGGGATGAAAGTTGTTCTCCCTTTCCTTTTGGAACTAGAGGGGTCAAACCCAAGTCCTTCACGACCCTTATGTTTGGTCGTTTCAAGAAGCCTATCCACTGCTTCTTTGGACTTAAGTATCCCTAGCTCCTTGTTGAGGGATTTCACCATTTCAGATAGAGATTCATTTTCAGCTTTAAGTTGAGTGATCTCATCCAGTTGACTTTTCCGACCTTCAGTCAACTTGAGATTCTCTTCACTTAATAACTTGTTCTCTTCTGTTAAGGATGAGTGTTTGAAATTTATCTCCTCAAAATCTTCCATCATCTTTTTGAACTGGTCAAAAAGATTTTCAGAAGTTGGTATGCTATAAGAAGATGAGCAGGAGGTTTGTGAGGTTACCTCTTGATCAGCATCATCTTTGGCCATTAGGCAGAGAGTGTCATCTTCTGACATAGTCCACCTATCTTCATGGTTGGACTTCTCAGCTCTGCGCTCCATGCAAACGAGGGCTTCTTCATCCGAGCTTGAGCTGGATGACTCGTCACTTTCAACAGCAACCATTGCCTTCTTTTTCTTCTCGTTTCTTTCTCTTTCTCCGTACTTCTCCACCTTTGGGTACGGGCATGCTGACTTCCAGTGGCCAGGCTTCCTACAGTTATAACATAAATAGGATTCAGGAGGAGAGTCACTTACCTGTGGCTTTCCCTTGGATGGCCTTCTGATTGAGTCAGCCTTCTTGAAGAACTTCTTGAACTTCCGGAATTGCTTGACCATCATGGCAAATTCCTCATCGTAGTTCTCCATTTTTGAGCTTGACGGCTGGCTGGAGGAAGGTGTGTCACAGTTTCTTGTGCATGTCCCTTCACTTGATGGGATTCTTGGAGTTGTCATCAATGCCGTGGGGAAGGGAGTGACTTGTTCTTCCTTCCTCTTCTTCAGCTCGTGCTCATAGGTTCTGAGCTCATCAAGGAGACCTTGAACAGTGTAGTTCTCCAGGTTTCTTCCTTCTTCCATGGCTGTGGCTTTGGTGTACCACTCAGTTGGGAGTGATCTCAGCAACCTTACATTCTTTTCTTTGGGAGAAAGAATGTGGTTAAGTGAAGCAAGATCATTCAATATCTTGTGGAATCTTTCATCCAACATATCAAATGATTCTCCGGGAAGCATTTTGAAGCTTTTGAACTT